GGTGGCACTTTTGTGCAATATCACCATCTGCTCATAGCATTCAGGGTTGTGTAAGGTTCAGGGTGTATATACTTTCTTTGCAGGGTTGCTGATGACTTTGCTGATTCCTCATCACTGCTGCATTACAAACCATTCTCAGGACTTTTTTTGATAGGCCTAGTCTACACTTTTTTTGTCTCTGTTCATGCCCTACCATTAGAGGAGTGATTTTATACCAGTATAATCAAATCAATCTACTGCCTACAAGGGAAGGATATATGTCCTGATGATGCTTGTACTGGTATAGTTTATTCCCACAAACTTGTAGGAATAAGCTATACCAATATCAGCAGTTTTGCACCAATACCTCTCCATTCACACTTAGAGAAGCTGCACCAATTTTCCTATATTAGTTTCCATGTCAAGATGATCACAGCAGCACAAAACTAGTGCCTAGACAAGTTTTGAGAAGGATGTGCTGCATCAGTGCCAGGGAAGGAAGTATGGCAAGGGGACATTGTGGCTTGCAGTAGTTACCTTTTCTATCTGTCATTGCCATGTTCTTCCACTTGCATCACAGACCATCTTACAAATCCCACGTAGGCAACTCAGCATATTTTAAAATTTGAATTACCCAGTCCAGCCTGTGTCACTCAAAACACCATCAAATTTTATGTTGTTTCACACAGGGCAAGAAATGTGAGCTTGAGACTCACTAGGCGCATCTACACCAGATATTTACTGCAGAGCAAACTAATTAGTTCCATAGTAAACATCTTGCATCTACACGTGCAGGGCTATTAGGCTGCAGGCAACTAATAACTTGGCAGTAGGACAGTACTTGCATTTACAAGTACTATCCTGCTGCAGATTTTATTTACTGCACAGCAAGACACATATAGGCGCCAACCCCAGTAAATTGCACCCAGTCAGCCCAGCCAGCAACTGCAGGAGACTCATGGCCCAACAAGCTCCTCTGCCATCTGATGCAGCCACCCATAGCCTAGGCCTGACCCCCAGTGCCCCCTGCCAGCCCAGGGCTGTCCTCTAGACTGAAGGACACACTGTTGTCACCAGCTGGAGCCTGGGGCTAATGCCTATGTTCCCTGCCAGCCTGGGGAAGCTGTGACCAGAGTTTGGAGCTTCCCCTGGCTGCTGCAGGGCAGAGCCCTAGCCTAAGCTACTTCTCCCCAGTGCAATTTGCTGCTGTCCCAGGTGCACATGTAGATGCTGCACCCAGGAGTAGTATACTGCAGAGCAAATTATTCCACTGTTTATTCAGTCATTTTAAGTGTGAATGTAGCTGTGCCCAGTGTGGTTTATAATCTGATTAGAGGCGCACACATTTTGCTCTTTTGCATATGACCGTGTGAACCCATTTCCTCTGTACATTTAATCCTTACCTACTTATGTGCTTTCTCTGAAACACAGTAAGAAGGTTTTGTTCTAAGTTTCCCATCAGTGTTTGTAAGTCCCAGGATCAGTTCTCACTCTACAGATTTTATTATTTGTTCTAACAGTTCAGGGTCAGGTAGGCCACAACCTTGTGAGGCCTCAAGAGTTCTCCTGTTTGTGTGTGTTCCAGATGGGCCCCCTTGGAAAACTGCAGCACGAAGGGTGGGTCCTAAAGAATGTTTATTGCCTTAGCCACGCCAGCAGTGCTCCAATAGTTTACAGTTCCTCTCCCATGAAAGCTCTGATTCTTCTGTGACTTGAGGGCTTTAGTATATGTGAGGCCTTCTGTTGTTGCAAATAAAGGGAGAGAGAAAGAAACAGGAATTGAAGGCTAAGTAGACCTGCAAGGATCACAGTTTGAGCTGACTGAGATCAGACACTTCCGTTTAGAATGGGGAAGTGCATGGCTCTCTGACCCTGCTTTATGCTCTAAATACCAACTCTGTTTTCTTTTTGAAGTGTACAGGGTGCAGACAGTGCTGCGAGCAGGATCCTTAAGAACTGCGTAGTCTGAACAGTATGTCGGCTGCCTAACTTGCTCCTAGGGGATTGGGAAAAAGAAAATTAACTACCTGTAGGCTTGTTTGCTAAGTGTGCAAATTGGAATCCCTGAGAGGGACATTCAGCTATAGCAGGTTTCAAATTTATTTCAGAACACACTTTATTATTATTATTCTCCAATACAAGGAGTGCTCCAGCAGGAGAATGCTCAAGCAACCAAAAAGCCTCACAGGGAAGTTTTTACGGCTAGGTACAGACATTCAAAAAGCCCAAGGTGGAATCAATCTAAGCTGCAGTTTCCTGTAAGCAGCATAGTTTAGATCAGTAGCGAACAGAACACACATTTGCCCTTTGGCGGTGGGGGGGAGGCAGAGCAACACACATCTTAGACCAGGTTCCACCATTTTAAAACCAATCTGTGCGCTAATTTCTGTTCTGCTATGGGTATAGACCAGTTTTTGATCACTTATACTGGTAAAAGTGTAATGTCTGTACTTGGCCTATGTCTTAGAGCTATTGCTTCAGGTTGTTTGCAGGCTCAGACATTTGGATCTCCACAGGTCACATGTGGGTTGCTGCTTACAAGCATGAAAGGCAGAAACATACCTGTTTAGTAGAATCAAGGCTGGAACTGTTATAGAGGATCACAGGACTTGAGGAGATAGGCCTTAAACATGGTCCAATAAGCCCAGTGATGGATTAAAGCTCAAGCCCAATGGTGGATTAAACCATGAGCCCTTTCTGTTTCAGTACTTTCCTTGAACATAGAACAGTCATTTATCCCGAACATGTTGGAACAGCAATGCTTGTTTTCAGTATCTGGTATACACATCTTGTTGGCCTCTCACCAAATTGCTGTCAGGGGAGCCAGTCAATAATGCCCAGCACATTTGAAACCTAGGCCTAGTCAGTCAAGGCACTGTTCTTCAGCTCAGAGGCTTTGTTCACACAGTCAAGGTATACATCTTTTTATCTAGTGTTCTTTCCCAAGAAAAGCTATACTACAAGTGCCTGTCTCCAAATCTCATTCTTAATGTCTCAGGTGCCTACCATAGCTGAGCACACACCTCTTCTCAGAAACTCACCAGCCATTTGCAATGTGAATCTTCAGGGACATACAGTAAATTTAAGCAAGTGTACATGTATTTTTGCACAGAATTTCTAGCTACACCCTTGCTCTTACTCAAAAGATAACACAAGGGACAGACAAATAGAAAACACAAAGTTTTGGGGGGCAACCCCCCTCAGTTAAGCTCACCATTGCATCATAATTCCCTTGGAATCCATCTGAGTTTAAGGAAGTAAGCAGCTTCAGGTTTATTTCCTTTGATTCTGCTGAGTCCTACAGAGACATCAGACCATCTCTGCAGTAAACATACAAACACTTTTCCTTCCTACTTAAAGCTTTGCACATGTCTCTCTTTATCTTATTCTTGGCAAGATCTTTTAAGCCTTCCCTTGCTACCTTCTGTCCACCTACAGCAACAGAATATTATCAGCAACGAGATGGATCCCAGCCCTCTACAGACAGAGTGGGTCAAACTGGTTTGCCCAGGTCTCAGCTAGCTCATTGTTCCCAGCTGTCTCCAGTTGTCCATTAATCACTGATCATTGTCCCTGCCTGCTAGGAATATGGCCTATCTCTGCCAGCCCACCCATACACATAGCCAGAGGCATTGGATGACTCAACTGAGCTCAACAGAGCTGTTTGCTTACATCACCTGAGGATCTGGCCCAAAATGTTGTACATTAATTACCCAGAAATTATAGATCGGTTACTGGTAATATCAGAAACCACATCTCCAGAACTGGTAAATGTGAAGGACAGTTTTCTCCTTTTTTAATGTATCTATTTAATTTCTTTATAAGAGTAAAACAAGCCACCAGTGTGTTTTAAAGGATATATTATTATTCGAGTGCTTTAAGTTAATTGGTCCTTGATCTTGTAACTTTGTAAATTATGCTGAGTTATGTGTAAATTGCCCAGAAATATACTGCCTGTCACGCTTAAAGGGACATATTCAAGGTGGTAGCCCCACACTTTGACTTACCTTACTAAACTGATTTTCCAGAATAGTCTTATTTTCAGTTATTATTTAAGTTCCTGCATCAATGACTTGTGATGTTATTGACAGTCTTGCAATATTTGATTATTTTTTCTCACATCCCCAAGTCCCTGAATTTATGGGATTAAGAAAGAATCTCAGCTTTCATTAAAAAAGTAAATTTCTGGCCTTTCTGGTTCCAGACAAAAGCTTGAAAATGTGACCAAGACACACCCTAAAAGCTCAGAAACCAGAAGACAAATAAAATGAGTCTGAAGTCTGTAATGTTTAAAATCTCATGACCTGTGATGTTTTGAGCCTGACTCATGATATTTGAACATTTAGATGTAGCAATACTGAAGTTCATGTAACTTGTTATAAGTGTAGGTTTACAAAATCAAAACAACTAAATTCCAATGGCCACACTTTTATGCAAGGCTATGCTAATAATCTATTGTTGGTGTGCAAGGGAGAGAACAACTCATTTAGCTAGAAACCTCCAGGGGATTACTATAAACAACAACAAAAACCCACAAAAGAGATTTTTAGAGTTATGAAAAATGCCCAGTGTCCATTTAAATAAAAGCTACGCAACATTTGGCTAATATAACACTCCACTTGGGGACTGATGCATTGCATACATGCCATATCCCAGCTGATAAATTAGAGAGTTTCTTTTACTACTTTCACATTTTAGATTTTCATAAATAGGAACCCAAGCTCAATAAAAAGGCAAACACCTGGAAACCCAGATCATGACTGTGGAAGAAACATTAATTAATTTTATGGCAGAGCTTTATAATGGGCTGTATAAAATTTCCTACTGTAATTGGTATATACATTCAACGGTTTTATTGTATGTCAGAGCACATTATTCTGCACAGCTGCTAGAGAAGCATTGCTGAACTGGTGTTTCTCTTCCATGACAAACACCTATTAAGCAGTCAGCATAAACTCTTCTTGTTACAACCTCTGACATCACCCCCAGGGCAAGCGGACACAGAACTGCAATTGCTGAACTGCGTATGAAAATTATAGTTTTATTGTCTACTCAACTGAAGGTTTAACTCTGACTCCTGTTCCAGTCAGCTCAGCTATAAAGAAGTAATTCTTTCATAGAACAAATAAGCACAGTAGACCATTGTAGTCCAAGGAACAGGCACTATTTATGTATTGGAAAGACTTGTTCACAATAGTGCTAACAATCTACTGGTCCAGAAGCCACTATTTTAGCAGCTGTAGAGAAAAAAAGCACAACTAACAAGATACTATACAGAATTGAATATAGCCTTTTAGAACACAAATGGAATAATCTTTTTCGATGCTACTATCTGCTAGTTTAATATGCATGATTGATAAGTAGGGACCATGTATTTAATGTTTATATAGGCGTCTTCTCCCCCATAGCGTTCAAAGACTTCCAGTGTCTCTTGAATCAGATCTCCAATGTTTTCACGCTTGTGCTGACTGTAGTCAATACCATCTCCTGAATTAACTGGATAATAAAAACAAATGCAAAAGTTATGTCAGAGTTTTCCCTGTAACTTTCTGAAAACAGGACACAACAGCAGTGAAATAACAGCTAAATAGAATTGCTTGTCAGTAACAGGGACTTCACTTAATTTTTATCCGGTGACATACAAAGTTGAAAGATTTGAATAAAAAAAATCTTAGGTATCTCTGATACCTGCTCCTGCTTCCATTTGAAATTAGCAACATGTCTTAAAGATATTTTTAATGTAGCCATTACCGACTAGCTACAAATCCAGATTTAAATATCACAGAAAACATATTTTATTAACATGCAGAGGCTTCATCTGTGGACAGTGTCATATAGATAGTCAGGAATATCTTGAGACTATTTTTGCTTCATTTCATAGCATTGCTTATTTAGGATAAAATTCTATTGCCATACTTATAAATGCTTATCTATGAAATGTGATTTAAGCTAGGCCTATTGTGGTATGAAATCCTTAATGGATAATGTTTTGGGATTGTTCCATGCTAGACAACAGATCCACATGCCTACAGTGTTTCAGATAGTGGAGCTCAAAGAGGGAGAGTGTCACTTGGCCTAAATGAGACATTTGGAGCATTACATGGCACTCACTCAATTTCTGCTTCCTGAAAAATGTGTTAAATTAAGTCAATGTCAAAAGGACAAATTATTCTAGTCCTTAGATGGAATAATATTTGTTGCAGCCTTCTTTAGTATGGAGCAGGTTGGAGACTGGCTAGTAACAAGCATTTGAACAGATATGGCATAGTTATTAATGTAACTTATTAACATAAGAATCCCAGCACAATTTTCTTTGTGGCAACTTAAAAAGTGTAACAGAGTGCCAGATAATCCTTGCTTGTGGTGGTTTCACAAGGTTTAAGTGGAGAAATGTTCTGCAGTTGCTTCAAAACAGTAATCTGAAATCTCCACAGATACAAAAACAAGCATGAACATGCTTCAAAAAATATCTCCAAAGTGTTTTGGCAAGGACCTTATGGGCTCTATTGTAGCCAGGATATGTAATGCCTGGGAGTGGTTACAATCAGATGCTTGTCTGGTGGCCTACCTAAAACTACTTGGTGACCTTACTCCAGCTAGTGGTGGATAAATGCCCACATCATAAAGGTAGCACCCCAAATAACATCATGTAGCTATTTTGCTGACAGATTTAGCAGACAGGCCAAAGGTACAACTGTCAAAGAGGCCAAACCAAATTCTCATTGCTAGTGATGGTGGTACCTTTCAGGTTGGGATTATAGGTTGGGATTGGCACATCATAGTCTACTGCATGGCAGGTCGTACTCAGCAGAATACGTACATGTGCAAAGTTAAACCCATGCTTAAATGCTTTACTAAGTCAGGGCCTAAATAGGATCTGGGGTGGTGTGGGTGCTGAGGCGCACAGTTGACAGCTCAGAGTATTGCAAGTTTGAGGCTAAAGAAGCACTCATGGCATGGCCTGTCAGATTCCAACAAATCTGCAAGTTCTACTAAATACCTTGCCTTAAGGAAAAGACTTAAACAATCCGGGGTGTAGCTATCTGTACCTCTTACAGAGAGAAACTGGTATAAGCTTTGCAACCTTGCTCATATGCAAAACATCAAGTGAATGCTGGTGTAAAAATTATCCTTTCACTGGATTTTTTTCTGTGAAATAACTACTCACATGCTCAGTTAATACATGGGAGTTTTCAATACCCTGATATGTTTTTATGCATTGTTTATTTTCTATTTGCAAAATATGGTGTATAAACATATAGTAGTTAATGATGGGGATACTCAGTTGAAAGGTGTTAGTTTGTTCTGATATCTTCCTTTTGAAACCACTTTTATACATGGATACACACACAGATGCACATGCGCACCCCACCCCCCCCCAAGTGTAAGTGGACATATGTAAATATCCAGTTACTTTGAAGGATTTTAGGGTCCAATGTCTGTGGCATCAAAATTTATTGTGGAAATGCCTATAATGTCAGAAATAATTGATTATCACATCACACACAAGACAGCAAGCTGATATTAAATGGGACAGTATTTACACAAAACAGCTTGTCAATCAGCAGTTGAAAGAAAGAACAGCATTAAAAATGAATTACATTTTCATTAACTATGCTTTTACCTTAAAAAAACAACACTTGATACTCATTGTGGCATTGTAAAGCCAACACTCCTGACAGCATTCAAACGCTTCTAATTTCACCAGTGCGGAAGTGAAAGCCCTGAACCCTGAACTTAGGTCTTGGCAGGTAAGTAAATGAATTACTCATTTTCAAAGCTTTTGCTAAAATCTTTGATCTGTCATTTTTAAGGCCACACTCATGCTCTGTTAATAAGATGAAAAAGCTTTCATAGCTCTTTAAAAAATCCCTTAAAAATTCTATACTTGTGAAATAACAGTGATATATTACAAACTGGGAGGTTGGAGTTCAGTCTATAGAGGGTGAATATCCTCTGTAGTTTTGGTGGTGGCACAACATATGTTCCAGAAGAATTTTTAGATGCTTTTAATACTTGGACAAAAATTGTAAAATAATTGCTGTGAGGAATGACAGCTTGGAGGCTTGATTAAAAGATACCCGAGAGGGTCAGGCAATTATTAGGGACATAGTATGCAAAGGATAACTTACGTGATGTGCAGACTATCATTACAAAAAATATTTTGACAGGCTGTGTGCACGATGTGCAAGGTCCATATCCTCAAGACCGTCATGTTCCACCCTAATTTTATGACCTCGGTTACAGCTGCCAGTACTGGAAAGGTTATCCCTACACTGAAAACACCTGCTAAGTACCACAGTAGCTACTGTCCACAGTTATAAGAATTAGCAAATCTTTCAGAAGAATAAGGTAATGATTAACCCGCTAGGAGAGTAGCTACTCCAGCATTTGCCAGCACAAGATGGATAAGTCAGATTGATTTCCTCAGCACACATAAGGTTGACTATCTAGTCATAATAAGGATGAATGTTTGGGGGGGGAAATGCAGTTGAAGAGTGGTGGTGTCAGCCTGCCTGTGTCTGCTTTAATTTTATTTCCATATTAGTTTGTCTGTGAAGCAAATTGTCAGCCACAAAAACGCATATGCAATGTGTGAACATGGATGTGATTCCAGTTCTTTATGACACTGTCCTTTGTAAGGGCGAATTGTCAACTTAAAATATGTTAGAAAGCACATTTGCTTGCTCATGTTCTAAGTGAAATATCTGACAGATTCAGCATGCACCAAGGACTCTTGTTCTCAGGGCAAATGGTATTACTGTATAATAGAACAAATTTATGGAAGCATTACTAGGACTTCAGATCTAGAGGAATGGAATTGGGATAATATTTTACATTCCTTTCCTGGGTGAAAAAGTTAGTTCTCTGCCTCCTAAATGCTGCATAAAATTTTTTATGCTATTTAAAAGAGAACTAAGAAGCTGTTTGCCTGTCAAAACCTGCTTTAGCTGATGAAATCATGAGCACATGTGTAGGAGTGGCATTCTTTACCCTGCTGTAAGTGTTAGTGATGCCACCTACTGTAGCAGAGGAAACAGAAAGCTGAGGGCCTGAACTCAGGTCTTGGCAGGGGCATGAAGAAGGATCTACATTTTCTTGAGATTTGAGTCCAGACATGTTTCTGTTCATGACTCAGGATATTGAAGAGATTTTAGAATAATTTGTTTTCCATTTCAGTCAATTTTAAAGTTCCACAGAGCTACTTCTTCACGTACTAATATTACAATCACAACCTTTTAAAGAAGCATAAGCAATTTTTTTCTTTAAGTGTTAACATTTAGTAAATGGGGGCAGTCATTATATCTTGTGGCAAGCCAGCTTGTAAGATAGTTTTTTTTAATAATCTCAAAGTGTACTAGGTATTCTTTCAGCTCATTGGATTTCTCTTTGAGACGGAGCAGGTCTTGAATCAATGGTAGTAACTAAAGTGTGCCCTTGATTATGCCTGTTTCCAGGCTCCTACTTCAGGTATGACATGAATTAAACTGGAATGGCTGTACAAATGTACAGGCAGAAAAGTCATAACATTTGACATAATAGAACTATGCAACATTTTAAATACTTCAAGTTGGCTCAGGTCTTTTTTATTAAGAATGAGATTCAAAGAGATATCTGAAGTGACTTTGAAGAAAGCCCTTGACCCACTGTTTAAACATTTTTTTAATAACAAAAATGTAAAAGTGGGATCAATGGCCACTCAACAATTTAAATGCTAAGCACCCCCAGCCCCCTCACTCCCAAATATATTTTTTTCTTGGGACATGCTGGCCCCAGCAGCCATTTTAAACTACTATTAATTAGGAATATATAGGTTTTAGATAATAGCTTTTCATCTGCAATCCAAAGCACTTTGTTATAGCAGTGTCATTCTCACATTTTTAGATCTTGGGAAACTGAAACACAGGAAGAGGTCAGTAAGAAGTCACACTTTTTTGATTTCCTTATCCTAGACAACAAAAATACTATTTGTGAACTATGATAAACATTTTCTTAAAGTGGTTAATGAAGTTCTTCAGGGTCAAAACAGCTAACTATATCAGCCCTTAAAAATACTACAATAATCCCAACACAATAAACACTTCATTGAATAACAGTTATACTTTTATTAACAAATGAAGGTACTGCAAATGAGCTGCTGATTATGAAATCATATTTTTACCGGAAAGCTGATCACAAAAGAAAATATAACATTAAGGAATATTATCCAATGTCAGCCAAGATACAATATTATAAAATATTTTTGGGCAATACTCAGGATTAATTCCATCCTGGACAGCAGAAACAGGAACAAGCTGAAGGCTGATGTTAGATATAAAGACATATACACATAATAGGACTCAGGTAACTCATTGACAAAGTGACCATTCTGAGCTAAACTTCCTATAAATATTTACTTCTTTTAAGTATTTATTTTTAAAAGTGAATGCAATACTTATTAAGGATGCCAGCTTGCTGATATGAGAAGCAAGTGAAGGACAGGAAGTATAAACTTC